ATATATATATATATATATATATATATAGTAATAATATAGTAATATTATACTATTATATAATAAATAACTCTCTCTTTCTCTTAGAAACGGCGCCGGTCAATCGTCCTTCGTCGCTATTTTACGGCGCGCCGATAGTGTTCCTCCGTGTTCTTGCCGATTACTTGCGCGAATCGACGACGCTCCACTTCTCAGGACTGTCGTGAGATATCCTCGTCCTGATTTCGTTGTCGGCGATCCTTCATCCTTGAATGATCCTTCTCGTAGCGTAAACGTGACGATTGGCCGGTACGATCATAAAAAATATACACACTACATCCACACGTACATTACACACAGACACACGCGCGATTAGAAACGATAATCGAGTTAATGTCCTTTGAACTTACTAGACGAATTGAAAGGGACGATGCTGTCCTCCCTCCCATTTATCATCCAGTCTTAATTTTCTCTCTTCTTTCCCGTGTCCCGATCGAAATGCAGAATCCGCCCGTCCTTCGCTCCCTTCAGCTCTGCTCCCCCCCGCCCTTTCCAGCCCGTCCACTTCGCGATAATCCTGGTTTCTGCTTTCGCTTCGTCTCTTTTAGACTTCGATTCGAGATTTCGGTCATGGTGCTATAATATCTGTACATATACTTATAAAGATCGTCGCATAATCAATATCGCGTTGCGATGGATAATAATTATTAACGGTTAATCCTATTCTTATATCGCTGCTCCCACACTGCTATTATCATTGTCACGGATATGTTTTACTGTCGTTATTATTCTCTACCATCATCATAGCTATTATTACGATTACGATTACGATTTATTATTATGTTATTATTATTATTTGCAACTAATGTACTTATTATACTGAATAATCTCTACATCTCGACGTTATCGTCAGCGGCGCTATTTAAGTCAGGCGAATGTGAGGAAAGGCAAACGCTAGATTAAGACCAGATTCAGGTTTTCGAGATATTTGTACGTTATTCCGCCCGCAGCAGCTAGATTACGCAATAATCGCTCTTCTGTTTGATATCGACTGCCGTTTACACGCTGTCGCGTGCATTATGCATGCCCTTCTCTTCGACATAAATAAAAAGCAGCAGTGCGAGCGTCACATGCATACGTACGTACACAAATGCGGCCTCGAGCACCACGTAGACGAAATTCTTGTATCAACACAGAGCGAATTTTTGTCTGATTTAATTGGACAAAAGATCGAATTGAATTCTTATGCCTCGCGAACCAAAACTTGCTGATACCTCGCCGTTTAAGTGGAGAAAAAAAATCGAGTCTACGTTGAGGAAATTCGCCAAATCTTTTCCGTCGGCGAGGAAAAATTTATTGCTCGAATATCTAACATATATCGCTGATAAATTTTTATCTTACTATCTCTCTTTATCAAGCGTGTTATCGGAAGATACACGTAAACGGTGGTCGAACATCTCGCTTTTTCTCTTACTCGAAGTAAAAGCCTTTTTGATTCGAGGTACTTGATACTTTTCGAGAGTGATAATTTCACCGAATTTCTCTCCAAATGCGTATCACTTTCGTTAAAATCAATATTGCGACGACGATGGCGACGACAAGGATAACGATAACGGTGGACGATGTCGGCGTGCCAAGGGAGGCGGGAATTTATTCTTAAAAAGCAAATATATATATAATACATATATATGTATAAAATATATAATATAAACGAAGATAACGATATTAAGGGTAATAACTACGACAAAAAATGACTGCTCTATACTGCTAAAGTACAAATGTTTTCATTTAGTTGTTTTATAAGACGATATCAATTCGTTAGAGCTCAGGCTGCGCGTTCACGCCTCGCATTTAGCGTCGAATGCGGCTGTACGGCCACGTCGACTTTCATTAGTCTCACGATGAAAATCGTGGGATGATATCGCGCGTATAGAACGTTATATCAGACCGAGAGAATCAGACGACCATGTGTGTGTGTGTGTGTGTGTGTGTGTATGTGTGTGTGTATGTGTATTCGATGCTGAACGCGAGGCGTGAACGCGTGTCTAGATTTGTAGCGCGTCGGTTGTGAACATACGCACAGCCCGACGCGCGTGTATGTATATTGTATTTATTTGTTAATCTCTAAGCGTGTGGCGCCACACAAGAGCCACGCGTGTATATTCGTACAGGGTGTGTCAGAAATTCGCCAACTTCTCATCGATCATGGTATATCTCTACCTTGATGAAAGATTGATCCGACGTCGTGTCCCTCTCGCTTTGCGATATCCAACGTTAGATCATCCTGCGACCGGCCGTTAAATTAGACTTACGACGAAGTCTGTCTCCGACGTGACGTGGAAAATAAAGCTGATCAACTGAATTGTGACTTATTCATGCGTTTAAGATCTAATTTCGCGTTCAAAGATCCCCGATCGACTCCTCGAAACACTTCTTCGAGCGAAGGAGAAGCGAGCTGGTTTTTGGGATACCCTGTATCTATATATATAAAACGCATTCATACGCACACACATACACGCATATCACATGACATATTCTTCTACTGTATCCGAATGCATGACGAACGCATCCTTCCCCATTTCGTCCATTTCGCGAAGCATGAGAGGTATAAATGTTCGATTTTCGTCTGGTCGACAATCACAGCGGTAGCGTCACGCACAGCGACATTCCAGCAGAACGAACAAATCTCTTTCGGTTTTGGTGTAGCATCGTCACGAGATACAGAGTAATTCAAATCTACGTCGCTTGATTGCGATCTTTAGGTGCGCGTGAAGAGAAAAAGAAAATGAGCCGGAATTATATCGATGAAGAAATTTAGCTCGCAGACACTTGCATTTTTAACGAGGGGCAATCTCGTCACCTCGCGATTCGACGCGATCGTTGAATATTAGTGTTTCAAGGTGTGTAAGTAAAACAAAAAAAAATATATATATGTATATTTATTTCGTATTTTATTCGCCATGCGATTCGAGAACCAATACTTCTCGGAGTCTCTGACAATCAAAAGCTGTCTTTGGAGGAACGACTCGGCTAAAGTGAGGAAAATTCGTGAGAGGACGCGCGGAATCGCTAATGCGAAACTTGAGAGAGGAACATTTAGACCGAGAAACGGGTATTTGACGTAAGAGAGATTTGTTTAAATCTTGCTCACACGAATTCTGGAAAACGCGACGCGATATCTTTATACTTTTACTTCCGATGTAATAATAGCGGACGACCCGCGATCGCGATATATTTTTCGAGAACAGTATCTTTCTTGTTGACGAAGAAGATCCCCTTTAGCAATTCTGGCGTCAGAGAGCATCGCATGTCACCGGAGTACGGCGGCATACTTTTGAGTCACCCTGTACGATCGTAAAGTCACCACACTAGGGAAGAATTTTTTGAAAATTTGTTTGTGGGGAATAAGATTTCGCTTAAAATAAACTTATTTCGCTTTATTTTAAGCTTATTTTAAGTTTATTTCGAAGTTTATTTTAAGCTTATTTCGCTTAAAATAAACTTCGTACCCCACAAGTAAATTTTCAAATACTTCTCTCGGTGCATTAGCGACGAAGTCACAGCGTTTTGCGTGTCCAGCGACCTAGATCTCGCTATTTCCATTGAATTCTTCTAATCGATCGTGCCGTCGATTTTATCTCGCACTTCAGAAGCAATTATACGCCTGTGGCGTGCGTAACTCGTCAATTCGCCATACACTGAGAAAAAATATTTATTTTTATTTGTGAGAACATTTATTTGTGGAATAAAGTTTATTTCTGCGAAAAAACCATATTCCATAAATAATTTTTCAAGTACTTCTTTTTAGTGTAAAACGCGAATTGTCTTCGACACGGACGAATGTTAGATTTCGATTCGCGTCAATTTATTATTACAATTCTAAATTCGCAGGCTCACCGATTCGTCGTTTTTCTCTTTCTCTCGGAAGGAGTGCTCGTAATTCGTCTCAATAGGCTTGAGAGCGAAGTAACGGTGAATAATACGCGTAGCAGTGGTAAAACTCTCGCCACAATTTTCTGAGGATGTTAGATAATTGCAAAAGTGCATGTGGAAACCTTCGCGCTCTTCTTCTACTTATCATCAGCCTGCTCTTTTTCCCCTGCGATTGCACACTCGCTTATCCACCATCGAAATCACAAATTATTCAGACGCGCGTTCAAGTATCGTCCGACACCGAAGTATGTATACGCGAGAGATAACTTGTGCCAATTAACTAATTATCATGAATGTGTATGTTCGAACGCGAAGAACGAGAAGGAAATCTCGACTTGGATTCGGCGTAAAAAGGCACGGGAAACACCAGGGAACGTATCCTTGGATCGCGTTCAATCGGTGTTGCACACAATTTCGCGCGAAGTTTGTCCTGGTCCGCGAAAGACCTGTGACGATTGCCACGAGAACAATTATCATTGCGCGCGAGGAGCCAATTAGTTAATTATTAATTAATCTATAGCCGATTTTCCTCGACGTGAACCGCTCTCGTTGAGATTCAATTGCGTATCTCGAGTACACGTTGTTCTGTCTCTCCGTGGCGTGTATCGTATGTAAGAACTGTGATTTACAGGAAACCTCGGAACCTTCCAAACGTAGTCCAAAAGCTTCACACACACATACACACACACACACATACATACATATGTCCGGGAAAGCCCGCGTCCGATTGTCGGGCGTCGTTTTTAGAGCGAATTTCTTGTAATTATCCATTACACACGTTGGTAAATGAGTGTTACGCTGTCTCGCTACAATATACCGCATCGAAGCCGTTTAATCGATTTAGCTGTTAAGAGATTTACGACGGAAACTCTCTTACGAAATCAATAATTGGATGTCTCTACGTAAGATATAGGCAAGTGCACCGCTAACGCTCTTCTGCGTAGATTAAAAAGAGAATTGAAAGACCCTGGTAAACTAGTAGAAAGTGTAAGATACACGAAAACGTAAAAAGATAACACACACACAAAACTGACACATGTACCGCGCTTCTTTTGTATAACGCGTTGAATATGTTTCATTGTTATGAGTTTACGACAAAATCTAGGTAAGGATTACGAATCCATATCTCTCTACCATTAAGTTTACCATTATCTACATATATATATATATATATAGATATATATTTGAATAATATATTGTATTATCACAACTTGCACATATACACAAACACGCCAGGCTGTTTTCCCTTGTCCTAATCTCTCCTTCCCTTCCTATTTTTTTTCCTTACATTATCTTTTATTCATCCGAAACGTGTATCATCCCTCTCGGGAAAAAAAGGTGTACTTTTTCATATAAAAGGCATTGCCAAAATAAATATGGGGTTGGAAGACTTAAGAAATATGCGGTGCAATTGCTTGCTCATTTCAACGCCTCCATTATATCGCCCTTGCAAAATGTAGAAAACGTGAAGGCGAATTGTAATATCCTTTGGATTTTACGCAACTCGTGTAACCGGGAGTGAGATCGTAACGTTACCTAACAGGTGATCTTATGACGCTTCAGTCTCGAGTTGCTTCAAGTAGCATAACAAGTCCCCGAGCGCATCAATGTAATAATTAGGCACTAAGTCTCGTTCTTCCTGCTGTTTGGATTGCTTCCACTTCTCAATATCCGACAAAGAGTTCACTCCCGTCAGGACTAACAGAGTCGTAAATCCATAACGATTCCCAAACAATATATCTGTGTTACACCGATCTCCTATCATTAGAGTACGCGTTGGCTCAATTTTGTATTGTTCCATCAGCACTTTGGCCATGTATTCTTCCGGTTTACCCATGATTATTGCTTTCCTCTCTGCGCTGCATTCTATGCACCTGACTAGACTTCCAGTGCCTATTAAATTTAAAACATTATAGGCATTTAATTGGAATACATTTCATGTGAGTGCATTCAATATAATATATATAATATAATTAAATATATATATATATATATATATATATATATATATATATATATAATATAATTCAATATAATAAATATGTCTTGATACGTGCCAGGTATAATGATATTACTATCTGTTGGATATCTCTCATCCGTATTGGTCCCAATAAAATGTACATTAGGATTATTTAAGTAAGTAGTTGCTTTCACCATCTTACGATAGCTGAAGTGCTCATCATATCCAACTATAACTGCAGATACATCAGGATCTTTCTCAAAAATATAAAATGGCTTGTCTTGGCTGACTACATCTGGTCCTATCCCACAGCAGGAGATATCAGCCAGCTCCAATTCTTTTGCAATCGCTATATCCAAAATAGATATTGAAATTAAGCAATTGTACAGGAGATATTTCTTAATATAACTAACTCAGAGATTTTACCTTCAGAACCGATAACATATACTTTCTTGGTGAAAGCTTTGCTTTGTAGGTAACGAGCTGACAGATTAGCAGTACACATAATATCATCTCTGCAAGCTTCAAACTGCAAGCTCTTGCACTTTTCTACGAACTCGTCGCGGGTCTTCGTGCTGTTGTTGGTCACATAGAAAACTCGCTTGCCCAGCTTGCGGAACAGATTCAGAACATCCGACGCTTTCGGAAAGGGTGTCAAGTGCAGCCATAGCACTCCTAAAAACGAGATCTACAACTACACTATCATCATGCAAGTGTATTTCAGTGTGACTTTTACTCACCGTCACAATCAGTCAGAACAGTGTCGAACGAGTTCAAGAATTTCAGGACATCTTGATGGATCAATGTTTTTATATTTACAACGGACATAGTTATCTTCTAGTTTTTCTCTTTCTGTCTTTTAAAACGTTCAGTACCACGTATTCGATGAATTTTCTTTCATGAACTGAATGAACGTCACTGAATGTTTGATAAGTTATATTAAATTCCGATTAGTTATATTTAACTTATCACATATATAACACAATCATATGACCTTTAACTTGCGATTATAGCCAAAAATATTTGACATCATCAAGTGAGAGCTGTACCGAATAAGAAATAGCAAACCTGTTTTTCTTGTTGCCCTCTGAGGGCAGCACAATTTCGTACGTTAACGTGGTTTTAGTAAAACGTTTTAATTTTTATATGTTACGAATACACAAAGATAATTTACTAATTATATATTTTGTTATATATGCATTATGCATCAAGATTGAGTTATTCTTATTTTCGACTACAAAAAACACAATTCAACAAGTTGTAGCTATTGTAAAAGTAACAATAACGGAACGGTTTAAGAAGTATTTTACAGTTTGTTGAAGTCTCGAATTTTCAAATATATTGCCGAATATAAAATCTGTGTTTTGCGTGCAATTCTACACGGATACTAATCAAAGACGAATGCCAAAACTTTGGATAAAGTTTGTCAAATTGCACCTTGTAAATAAAGCATTGCATATGATTACATAACATTGCATTAAATAATATTTTATCACTTAAAATATAAATCTTTACCTTTAACTTGCCGCTGATTGCAGGGCGATCCTTCTTCATAGAGTTATTCATCATTAGTAGAAGTAGAAAGCGTTCTTTCTGCTTTTATCACTCACAGAAAGGATGAACAAATTATGTACAACATTTCATAAAACATAAATGAATAATTAAAAATTTCCTCTTTAAAGTGTATCTTTCATGTTCCTAATAAAACAAAATTATTTATGTAAAAAGTACTTTATACATTTCGTTTTAATATTTTAGATATTAATTATTAATTTAAAGTGATTGTGTACTTTATATATAAGTTTTCAATAATATTAAATAGTAGATATTAAAGTATTTGATTAATAAGCGAATGATTCCGGGTTCAATCCGTGTGTTAAAAGTCTTTTCTTTTAATTTTATTAAAGTTCGTCTGACTTGACATTAACGTGTACTACTTAGTACTGGCTAAGACTGCGTTCGGAAACATTACTCTCTCGTGTGTTTCGTGATTTCAGTGGAAAAGTAGTGGGGGTACTGTGTGCCTTCGTGTGTCGAGTGTTTCCGAACGCTTTCTAGTGTGACTTTAGTGTAAACTAGGGATCTATTTTCTGTATTTGTACTGTGAAGTGATGCGAAAATAAAAAGGTTATTAGTTTGTTCTTTTCAGCTTTATCTTTTCTCACTCTAACTTATTGCACTAATTCAGCAGTGCAGCTGAAAAGAACAGACCATATAACGTAGGTAACTAGTAATTCACTTTTATTTCAAAATTTTTTTATAAAAATGCCTTGTTTGAGATATTTTATCATACTTTCTTATATTGTTTAAAGTAAAACAGCTTATATAAGTGGTTTAAATAATATTGAACTATTTTTTAGCATAAATTATCCTCTTTTGGGGATTTCCTGAATTGGGGGATTCCTGAATTAGACCCGAAAAGATAAAAATTCAAAAAAGATTCAACCAGCTCACACCGACTCCCCTCGCTTTTTCGTCGAGTGGTTTGGTGGCACACGGTGTGCCTCTCTCTCCGTTTCCGAACGATCTCACACGAGTGCACACCGAGCCACACAGGCTGCGTTCGGAAACATTACCCAAGTTACCCGTTGCGTTGTGAGCGAAATACAAGCGAAATCACAAGAGTGAGATAAAAAGAAAGGGAGAGTACTCGAGTGATGTTTCTGAACGCAGCCAAGGAGGGTTATAGGAATAAGTTCGAACCGCGCAAATTTAAATAGGTAATGCTCTTGGAATTTGGTTTGTTCGTGTCATAAGGCAATTTTTGGCAATCGTTTGGTAGATATATCAGATTGTTTTTGGGTTAGTTTACATCAAACATTTGATATATGTATTAACGTCTTTATGTTGCGGTGATTAAACCGAGACTAATAGCGTGTTCGACTGGCCCTGGGTTAATCGCTCCGAGAGCGATTAATGACGTCATAAGTCTCTACTAGCCAATCATAAAGCTTATAAGTACTTGTTTGACCAATAAACGTAGGCTGAATAACCCAGAGTGGGTTAATCCAGAGCCAGTCGAACATGCTATAAGTATATCATCAACTATATATATCATTTTTAGATAACTCTTTTTGTTCCAAAATGCTAGGTTATTCTACGTTACTCTCTTCTACTCTGTTTTCCCACTAAGAGTTCTATAGAGTTGACCGAGTAGAGTTTTGGAACGCAGCCCTGGGCTCCTATTTTTTATATAGTTGCGTATACGTAAGTTTTACTGCGCAGGTTTAATTATACTATAAATTACGTATACGTAAAAATTTCAAGAATAGGGGCCCTGGATAGTACTAAGACTGCGTTCTTTTTGGGCGCTCACGCGCTGTAAGCGCCATTCTGTCTTTATCGCTCATTAGATGCGGAAGATAGAGTAACGCTTATAAGCGCTTAAAAGCGTGAGCGCCCAAAAGGAATGCAGCCTAAGTGGTACACGTCAATGTCAAGTCAAACGAATTTTAATAAAATTAAAAGAAGACCTTTAACACGCGGATTGAACCCGGAATCATTCGCTTATTAATCAAGCATTTTAATATCTACGCAATAAGTCAGATATACCCTCCTAACCAGTATAACAAATGCTCCAAATTAATATCTCGAATATTAAGAAATATTAAACGAAACGCTCGAACGCGGATCGACTTTTCCTTAATGTTATCAATATTTTGAGAATCGGATTTACCTGAACAACAAAAACATCAACTTAATTAATCTCATTTATTTAAAATACTAGAAATTTATAAATAAAGAATATGTAATTAAATCCATAAATCTTGATCTAACCTTTATTTTAATTTTTCCTACATTTTAAAGTATATCTTGATCTAAGATAATCTTGATCTAACCTTTATTTTAATTTTTCCTACATTTTAAAGTATATAAAGTCCAAATGTGATTGTCTTAGGTTTTCAATTTGTGGTTCTTATAGAATGTATCCAAATGATACTTGTCGTATGTTGGATCTTTTAAAACGACGTATTTCCAATACAGTATCTCGGCTAGTAAAGCTACAGAACTAAAAAAATAACCGATTGCAAGAGCAACAAAAGCGGCATGCAGTTTAGGCAGATCCACCAATCCTTCTTCAGAGTCTGACTCTTGCCGCGATTCGGTAATCTTTGACCACTCCATGACATCGCTTAACCATTTCTCTACTAAGCCGATTTCCATCATTCGTCCCACCTAAAATGCGAAATACGATTTTGTATTATGTAATACTCCCACACATGAAAATAATTTTCGTATCAATAGGCTAAGAATATTTTATACATGCTTAGTGCTTTCAGAACTTACTTTAACTAGAGTTTCATTCATTAGGAATATCCAAACAATTTTGCATAATTACATATTGCGTATACATAAGAAAATCAAACAATCATAATATATATAGTAAAAGGATATCTTTTATACATATTTTACATTAAATTAGTCAATTTCCTTATGCATATAAATGATGCTATTATATACTATAAGTTTATTTAGGTTTCAATAAGGTAAACTCTAATTAAAGTAAATTGTGAAACTAATGTTGCAATTCTAAGCATAATCGTAAGTCTCGTAACTTGTTCTCGTAAACTTGTTCTCGTAACTTGTTCTCGTAAAATTCGTAAGAACTTATGATTTACAAGTCTATGCAATATCATGTCGCACAATTAAATTGTAAATATCATAAATTGCATGAAATCGTAGATATTTACGAGTAATTGTACGACATATGATATTGCATAGACTTGTAAATCTATTCATAAGTTCTGATGAATTTTACGAGAACAAGTTACGAGACTTATGATTCTGCTTAGAATTGCAGCATAAATCTTATTATCGTACTGATACGCACGCGTTCATAATTTGTGAATCCACAGTGATATTTTACGTAACAGACAAGTGAATTCTTAAATTTCTACAAAATACGTCGAAGTAAAAAAATATATCCATTAAATGGCATTTGTAATCGATTGAGCGCACCTCTAAGATTCTCGAATACTTTACTTTTGCTTTAAGGCTCCTGGGGAGTTGCATCATTCATTTCTTTTTAATGACGTCAGAAGCGAGAAAACGCATGCTAAAAATTCCTGCAAAGTACGTCGAGATAAACAGATATATCCACAAAACGACATTTGCGATTGATTAAGTACACCTCTAAAATACTCCGTACACTTTCCTTTTGTTCTAGCAATCAACAGATAATTATAAAATAAATGTGACGTGCAATTGTCTTTTCTAATCTAATTTCCTCATTATCTTGTCATATTAATTTTCCGATTATCTATTGATTTTTAGTATAAAAGAAAAGTGTACGAAGTATTTTAGAGGTATATTTAATCGATCGCAAATGTCGTTTTGTGAATATATCTGTTTATCTCGACATATTTTGCAAGAATTTTTGCATGTGTTTTCTCGCTTCTGACGTCATTAAAAAGAGATAGATAATGCGACTCCCCAGGAGCCTTAACAATCAATAAATAACCGTAAAATTAACGTGACAAAATAATAAGAGATTGCATGTTAAGGAAAAAAGTTGCATGTCACGTTAATTTTACGGTTGATCAATTAAGAGTTCTGTGGCGCATAGTCAGGTGTCTCAATGATGTCAATCAGAACCGTTGTGTTTCTAAAGATTAATACCGTTGAACGAAATACCAATATATCCACGTGCGGCTTTAGCGGAGAATTCTTTTCCAATCCTAATGCGATCGGCATATGAACGATGCATTCCTCCATAATATGCAGATTATACTTGATTATCGATCCGCTGGTCTCCTCGCTTTTGTTCTTTTTCCTGCCCTTTTCGAATATTTGTTTAGCTCGAACATGTCGCAATAAATATGAATTTTCATAGTAACAGAATGTTCCATTGGCCACCCGATTGATAGCTTCCTCTTCGTTCTCCGTCAACTCGAACTTGCTGCCGATTTCCTGGCTGTAAGGATCGTTAGAGGCGAGAAAGAAGTCCTTGCTCTCCTCATTCCATCCTCCTATCGGCAGTGACGCAGCTGTTAATTGCGCTAAGGTATCAATAGTTACTCTGCAATAATAAACGAATAAACAGAATTGAATATGGAAGTCGAAAAGAATTTTACATTCTAATACGTATCTTGTGTGTTGTATACTTTACGTAACGAAGGGATTTGCTAAAGTGGCCGTCATGCTGGCGCGATAAATCATGGCCACCAGAATGCAGAAGATCCACCACCATCCGATGAGGATTCTCATCGACCATGCGTCCGGCAAATGCGGCAGGGATACTTGAAGCTGCATGCTGTACGTATACAATAAACTATTCGGAAGATTCGTGAACAGATATAGATCCTTTGCGCTGTCGTATTCGAACAGTTTCTCGTTCGTTCTGCTGATCATGTATTTATACGAGATTATGTACTTCTGATAGAACAAGGCGAACAGGTAGAACAGCCCGCCGGCTATCAATAGGACGAAAAACAGCGCTAACCATACATTCAGTCTGAAAGCACAAAGAATGTTAGCTTCCGAGCATGTGGCAATGATAAAAGAGAAGAATTTTTACGTACGACGGTGATGGCGTACCTGAGAGGTAGTATCAGTAATTTCCACGAGTTATCGGTTAACGCTTCCGGCGTCAAGAAGGTGAGGCACTCCGTATTGTACGGCGTGGATAGGTCGAAATAATTCAGATGATGCACTGTGTAATGCAGATCTCCGAGGAAGAAGTCGGCGTTGCCGTCGATTGCTTCGCCGATAAGACCGGTGTAACTGTCGTTATCGCCCGCTTTACCCCATTTCTCGTTCACGATGTTAAGGGGCATGTAGTAGTTTGCCTTGAAATTCATCGCTTTCGCTATAATTTGCAGCAACTGTGAAACAATATATTGTATCTTTTGCATTTACTCTTTTTTTTACACGTGTTATCATCGTCGTTCTATAATTTTTCCGTAGACTTAATACGTACTTCGAACTCGATACCCAAAGCTTTGGAGCTTCCATTCGAGCTTTGATCATAGTATTCTCGCGAGGTTTCTGTCACTGTCGGTATATGCTCGAAAACAGCGACACTGTGAGTCCAATAGTTTCATTTAAAAGTCAAATCAATGAAATTTGAGAAATATAAAATATATATAAAAATAAAAATATAAGAAAATATAAGAAAATATAAAAAAAAATATAAAAATATAAGAAAAAAAAAATATATATATAAAAGCTAGAGCTGTTATATATATATATATATATATATATATATATATATATATATATATATATATATATATATA